CCATACAAATGGTGCCACATATCCAGAAGCACAGCATTTTTTCTTCCCCTGGCAATCGGTATCCATCTTGGCAGTCATAGTAGCAGTAACCCTTTTGGACGGACATCGTCGATAGAAGGTACCATTGGGCATTGTCCGGGTTTATTAGGTTGTTCTGGAAGGAAGCATTGTGACGTTCAGAGCTCTCAGGAAATAATTTTACATCTCATGGAAACGCTCAGGTGCGAATGCAGCAATCACAACTTTGTCTGTGAAATGACAAGTTCGTACGTGATAGTTAACATATTTAATGTATAAAAATACGTACCGTCACAACAGTATCGAACTTTGTAATCATGACATTGATCACCAGCTGGCTGATCTTTGTCAAGACAAACAAATCCAGGATCGACATCGTGATGTAGGAATACCTGCCCGGTGCTTGATGAAGGTTGTTCAGTGGCGGCGACAACAACTTGGATGAATAACGGATTTTTAAACATTTCATTTGGATATTCATCTTGGATTATGGCGGTGATTTCACGATCTGCATCTAAACCTTCACATGGTTTATCGGTGTTGAACCATTTTGTCCACTTGTCACAATCTGGCTGTTCTGTATATTGATATTACATAAATGAAAAACATGGTTAATGAGACGAGACAGTTTTTCGCTTATAACAAGTATTCAATTCAAAGTAATACTCAAATTCAAATATTCAACTAAAATAACGTAAAAACATTATTTGTTGTGAATATTGATTTACCAGAACAACAGAATCTGACTTTATAATCTTCACATTTCTCATCGTCCTGTTCTTCATTCAAACAAGCAAATCCATTAATGATATCATTGCTGAGTAACACATCGCCTGTTAATTCAGCTGGTATGCCATCAATAGTCTGGGCTTGAATTGCGCTGGGTCGTTTACACGTCTTTTCACATAGTGTTGCTAGCGTTTCTAAATCGCCAATCCCTTCTTCTGGACTGTCTTCGTCGAACCATTGTGACCATTCACCATCACATGGGGGATTAGCTGTTTGAACAAACATTACATATATAATATTGCATATTACACAATCAACGTTATCGGACATACCACAACGAGGAATCAATGTTTTTAACCACGGGACAACTTCTCAACAATGCCAAGACACGTTCCTGTTCATAATTGTTCAATAATGATACTCTGTTGTGCACTGTCTGCGGGTAAGTTGCATTGATGTCAACTGATTAAACAAGTCGCGTTTAAGTAATTTCCACTATTAACAAGTTGTTACATTGTGACAATAAATGTGTGGACAAATATTTTAGACTTATTTTGGTGTAAACAACTCTCATTTGATGAATTCCAACAATTACAAGTTCTTAAATTGACAAAATGAATGTATGGACAAATATTGACCATTATACTTGTGAGTAAATACCCGTTGTTTAATTTCCACCTCTACAAGGTTGTTAAATTGAGAGAATAAATGAGTGGATAAATATTTGATACTTATTTAGGTGTAAGAACTCGTGTTTGACCAACTTCCACCATCGCAAGTTGTTAAAATAATGAAATAAATATACTGGTATCATTGGATATTTGATTTAATTGTGAAACTTTCTAACAAAATGTTAACAGCTGGCTTCG